TAATTAAGCACATTCATTAAAACTAATAATAGGGAATTGTAGACTGTGTGCAAGATAGCTAGAAAAGTCCAGAAAGTCATCAGAAATGTCCTTTTCCACGTTAGGAGAAAGCTTTAATCTTCCGCCTCTCGTGACCGTCTCCCATTCTGACAAGAGGCAGTGCTCTTTAGCCTAATCAAGCACATTCATCAAAAACTAATGATTGGGAATTGTAGATTGTGTTCAGGATAGCTAGACAAGGATAGCTTCACACATTGCAAATGCCCCATTGTAATCCTGATCATAATTACGTAATTACAAAATGCTCCCAAAAATACTTGGAAAAGAAATTATGTCTCTTTGCTTTGTAATGTAATAGAGGGGCAGCGGGTATGCAAAAATGTGTGTAACAGGACACGGCATTGAATTTCAGATAATGCCCCTCCCCGCACATGAAATGGTACAGTCCGCCTGTGGTGACCGCCTATTGTGACCCGCCTGTGGTGACCTACACCTCTACGCGAGACTTCCCTAGATGGATGATTGTGGTAACTGGATTAGCCTCTGCCAGGCTTCGGGAGGAGAGTAGAATGAGTAGAAATTAATTATGACAAAAAGAGAGATAACATGCCGGGGGAGTTGGTCTGCTAGAGAGTACCGTTTGCCGCACGCAAATTAAACTGTACTTTCTGACGGACCAAATCCCTCGGCATGTTATCTCTTTATTTGTCGATTTCTACTCTTTCCAGCCTCCTCCCGAAGCCTGGTAGAGGCTAGTGACTGGATTGTCTTCGTAATTAGACATAGTAATAAGGCAGCCATTTTGAACACCTGGATGGGTAGCACGTTTGGCTTGGCCGGGTTCCTTCAAAATGGCGAATGTTCAGGGATGTCATTTCTGTGCAATTTTTCACGGTCCTTTTTTTAAAGATTTTGGCACTAAAATAGTATATAAACTTTGCGCTATGATGATAAGAAGTTTGCTGTAGATTTGGCGCTATTTTTCGTTTGGTTTTGAGGAGAAAATACGGGTTTCCTGGCCTGGAAAAGACGAGACAGTTGTGAAGAATAATGTGGTCCGTCGAGCACATGGTAGAGGTAAGGAGCAAATTATCTGACCGACATTATTCCCTTAGCAACTAGTAAGAACATGTCATATTATGCAAGTTTTAATCCGTAAGAAATGGTGTTGTTATATGCAACTTTTAAGCCATTATTCCTGATTTAAGGCTTTTAAAAGTCAATTTTGCCGCGTTTTCCTGTGTGGGTTTGTGTCTCGCATTTGTCACTTATGCCTAGGTCACATTTCCAAACCGGGGCCCGACCGGGCTGTTTGTATGAACGAAAAACTAACAATTCATATCAAGAATATACAGAAATAGTGCCCCTGATTATTATCAAAAACCTTTCTGTGTTTCCTTGTCTTTTATATCGTACTTTTCGTTCCATAAGGCTGCCCGGCCGGGCCCCGGTTTGGAAATGTGACCTCAGCATTATACAACGTTGTGAGGGGTTGGAGGAAAAAGGTATTAAAATAATGG